CTTGTGAAACAAATAAATCACTTACCACGAACGTCGGCGAATATCAAACAGGTCGACACCTTTGTATTCCCAAGAGAATGCTGAAAGTAACACAGTGATACAGATTTGAAAAGATCAAACAGAAAAGTTGGGAGAAAACAGTTTTCCATTCGTATGGACTGTAACAGTCTGAGCTTGTAACTAGAGCCATGCATTTGACATTCCGGTCTCATCGTACGCGTTTTTAATTCTGTTATCAAGGCTGTTTTCCGAGGGGCTTCTTCCTGTTTTATGTTTTTCAATTTAGGCCCAACCCGAGGGTATGTAAGCGAATACTGTGTCATTCATCGATTTCTTCAGTACATGTCAGTTTATAATCCAGGAAGTCGTAGCACAATTAAAAAAGATGACAAATTACTGCANGGGAATATTAAAAAAACACAATGTAGGCGAACATATGTTTTCGGTGAATTCCTTTTCAAGCCTTTATAATCAAATTTTTATATGAAACAATTTCAATACGGTCAAACAGAAAGGTGTATAAGTCACATGTTTGGCAATGAGCCCAAGAGGACTCCGAATGTGTGCGCTGTTTGGATCACGCAACCAAATTCGTTACGTCACGATGGTCGTGTGAACAAGCGATTTCCTCTTCCCTTAGCCAGGGGAGTGTGAGAGTATGAATCAGCACACAGCTCAGGCTTCGTGAGTCGGATGCTAATTGCCTCTGCGGGTACTAACGTCTGAAACCGTATTGCTTTCGATAGGTGTGGTGGGACTCGATAAATGATTGTAAATGCAGAGCGCATGTTAACCAAAAGTTCCATCTCTACCAGATGAGCAACGATCGAGCTTGACACAGCTCCACTCCCACCCTGTGTCAGCCAGCGTGGATTGTGTTTTTGATCCGTTGGGATAACTGCCTTGTCATTCGACCTACATAAGTCGCACCACAGGTGCACTTGAATTGGTAGACAATTATAGATGAAGTCAACATAGGCAGTTTATCTTTGTTGTCGCATCGGATGTTTGGTGACGTAGAGAACACATCTTAGCTGTGCGGCACTGTAGATTTCCGTGCTGAGGATAAAACTCTACTGACCCTCTCAGTGGTGACATCGCCTTTTAACGCAAGTTTTGCAAAAAGTATTTTCTTTTCTACTTTTGGCATTTTTGTTGGCCTATTCTGTTCAGTCCAATTACGATCGATAAACTTTTCAGGATAGCCATTTCCAGTAAGGTTCCCCTCAGTAGTTCAAGTTGGTCCTTTAAAGTATCTTCTGAATAGATGCGTCTTGCTCTCTGTAGAAGACTGCCTATGAGGTTACGTTTTTGATAGAGTGGGATGAAGCTATGAAAATTTGTGTACTGTCCACTCCATATTGCCTGACGATATATCTTTCTTTGGATGGAGCCATTGGGGCGTCTAGTCCGGTGAACATCCAAAAAACGGAAGACAGTCATTCTCCGCTGGTTCAGTTGTGAACTTAATTGATGAATGTGCAGTGTTGAATTCTGACTCGACTTGGACAAGATTAATGTTCTTTTTAGCCACACAAAAGACATCGTCTACATAACGATGATATTGTTCGAAAGAACTAATAGCCGTAGATCAGGAAGTTGTCTCTAATTTGGCCATGAAGATATCGGCGAGAACAGGTCCGAAGGGTGAATCCATAGCAACACAATCGATTTGTTGGTAGAAAGTGTTATTAAACAAAAATTGTACATTTCGTGTGCATTTAAGTATGAGTTGTTTGAGAGTTGTAACAGGAATATCCACGGATATCGTTTCCGTGTTAATAAATTCGCAAATGAATTCAACCCTTTTCTAACAGGGGAACATTTGTACAGAGCAACAACATCCAACGAGAACATCAGTCGGTTGTTAATATTCACATTTTTGGTTATTTCAACAAACTGAAAAGTATCTCTCAGTGTACTCTTGGCGACACGTTGAGGTAGGAGTTCCAAAAGTCGAACTAACCAACGGGCAGTTACGTGCTGAGGTGAGTTTGTCATGGAGTAAGGTTCTCCTCACCATAGTTCAAGTTCGTCCTCATTGCAAAACACGTCACTCAACCACTTTTTCTGTTTGACCATATTGAAATTGTTTCATGTGACTGTAAAGGCTTGATAAGGAATTCATTGAAAGCATATGTTCGCCCACATTTTGTGTTCTTAATCAAAAGGGAGTAGTAATTGGAAATTTAAAATCGTCGGATAACCGGAAGCTGCTTGCAAACTGACCTTTTGAAACACTTTCCTAATCAAACTGTATCCGCATTCAGTTCACAGTTGCTTGCGATTAGTGGTGAAGGATGATTCATATTGATTTGAACTGACTATCCTTTGAACTTTAGCTTCACACATACAGTCATCAGTGCGTCCAGTCAAACATACACTTGTAGAAGCACTACAAACTCGAGTTTCATTCTGATTAGAGCTCATCAGTAGTGCATATCAACCGTCCCATCGATCGGGCTTTGTACTCCGGGAGGCTTTCGATTGGAGTGAACAGATAGTCAACAGTCTGTTTCCCTTCATTGCTATCGGGCTCACAATAAACTTTGACTGACTGACTATCACTGAAGACGACACACACGGTACAAACACACGAATAGGCAATTTGGTTCAGCCACGGGTATGACCGGGTTGGCACAGCGGTAACACACACATACACACACACACACGCCTTCCGTGCGATGGGTCCAGATTTCAAAGTCCATAGCGTGGGACTACTGATGAACTCTAATGCGAGTAAAACTCGAGTCTAGCACTTCCACGAGTGTATGCCTGACTGGATGCAATGAGGATTGTGCGTGAAGGTGAAGTCTGAAGGATGATAGATGATGACAGTTCAAATCAATATGAATTGTATCTGTTATGTAGGATCCTCGTTATCGACTGTTCCCTTGAAACTATTTAGTGTGTTCTGGCGAATAGAAGTCAGTTGAGATGTATTTTTTTTCAAGTAACTTAAATCTAAAATATTTTGTCACTATTGTTGTGGCCAGCTGTGAAATACGAGTGGGAGGGGAGCGGAGTAGAATGCCTGGTCGGAAACACTGGTTTTGCAATCCAATTGGGTAAAGAGCACAGTGAAATAGTACTACTTGCTCCGGATTACTCGATAAAAGTGCTGACTGGTCTTTGGCCGGTTTTGTTGCACCTTTCAGCAAACAACGTGACAAGAAAGATGGAAGTTCTAGTAATGTAAATAATTCCCTGTGTTTTGCAAGGCAGAGAAGAATGTTTGTACTCAGACTTGGTTCTGCAAGTCCACGATAATATTTCAACCGTCATAACAACGGCAAGCTCTTCCAAACAGAACCACAGAGTGGTAAACAAGCTCGTTTTCACATAAACGTATTCATGCTAATACATTTCAATATATTTCAGTGCTTGGGAATTTAATTATCTTGGGGAAATAAAACAAAATGAAATCACAGATTACTAGAAACGATTTTATCGTGAGACCGAAAATCCGGTTCACCATGATCACACAGTTGTTTGTATGTGTGTGTGTGTGTGTGTGTGTGTGTGTGTGTGTGTGTGTGTGTGTGT